AGGCCGAGATGATCTCCCAATCCCCCACTGCTGATCTCAAGAGAGCCAGTGAATCTATACCCTCCCCCAGCTCACAGCCCCCCGTGGAGGAAGCAGCGTGGCCTTCGGCATGATGGAAGGAGCCGCATCACCAGGAAGGTTGTTTACCGGCCCTGCTGCGGTACAAGGCTTCCCGACGGCTGCTGATTTAGTTCCCTGCCTCCCTGCCTGAGCCTGATGCTCAACATTTCATTCCCTGGGTTTCAGCTCCTGTCCTTTTCACCTCCAAAAAGCCAAACACTCTCGTGGCTCCAGCAGCATCACAAAAAACTTTCCCTAATTCAACGGCAGTACAAGAAGCTGAGGTCTCAGTCTAAAGGCTGAGGGTCCCGTGGAGGCCTGCTGGCTGCTCTGAACCTGACAGAATACCTGGAGGGCAGAGGAATGCTCTCTGGCATCTAACACCAAAGTTCAGAGTTTGGGTTGGTGAGGGGGTGGAGAGGGCAGACAGGTGGCCAATACAGAAAGAAGACCACACCCAGGGCCACATGGATGAGTCCACTTCTGTGAGTGGGTACAGACACGTCCATGGTGAGGCCCCTGTGGCTGTCATGGGACTCACAATTGGCGAGAACAAAAAGAAACATCTGTTTAGTCATTAAACAAATAACCTAATATTTTTTTAAAAAGAAAGGAAAGCCACTGATGATAGTACTGAAGGATGCTTAAAGTTCCTTTCTGACTTACTTGGTGGGAAATTGATATTTTGTTAATTACACAATACAAAATAATTGGTGACCTTAGCTATGCAATTAAATAGCAGGTAATTTAAAAGTTTTCCAAGGATTTTTATCAGTGTGGTGAATGAAGCAGCCATGGGTTATCACGCCTATCCTGTAACACTGCAAGACTGGAAACGAATCTACCAAATGACTCTTGGTATTGATCCAGCGAAGATTTATCCCCGGCCTGCGCCCAGACGGAACTGACACAGAGACACTCTATAAAACAAACAGTTAAACATATTTAAACCTGCTTAAGTAGTTCTTGAAGACAGAATATCTATGTCAAAAGGAAAACAATATTATGTAGAAACCAATGCCAACAAACTGACAGATGGGAAATGTTTGGAAAAAGAAAAAGGCCCTGGCTTTTTCCCACTTGGCTGCCAAGGAAAGCAACATCCACATAGTGCACCAGCCTTGAATGGCAGAAGGCAGCTTTACAACTCCCTCCAGCATCTCGGTCACTGCCATTTGATCTTAACCAGTAGCATCATATTTGTCTCGGTCTCGTACACATTTGTTAAAGTTCTAGAATACTTAAATCATGCATTATTGAATTAGCATCCTGGCTCAGCCTGTTCTACACACACGGAGTTAACGATGCGGCCCCGCGCTAAGTGGGGAACACTGAGGGAAACGACTCAAGCCCTCTGTAAATTTTATCTGAAAATTAGCGACAAGCACCTCATTCATAATTTCTAATTAAAATGGCCCTAATTAGCACCCGTGTTCATGAGCTGGCCCCACCTGGCCCTGTGTATACGGCTGGTATATGGCCCTGCAGGACTGCCCAGGAGCTATCCGCAAGCCGAGCTGGGAGATGGACAGATACCCGCAGCCGCCAGTGTCTATTCTGGGAAGAGTCGCTCACCTGAGCCAGGGCCGACAATCACTCCATCTCCAGGCAGCTCTGTGCTTGAGCTGCAGTGAGCAAAATCTCCAAGGATTCGGAGCAGGGCCTTTTTTAAAAATCAGTTTGTGAAAAAGCATCTAGAAAGTGTCCATTCAAGTGACAAAGGAGCAGAGTGATCTCTCCCTTCCCACTAGAGCTGAAACACATTCATTCCAAGTAGTTTCAATCCCACCGCATATCCTAGTGGCCCCATGAGCTCATACCCTCAGGAGCCCAGCACCTAAAGCTCATCAGCCTGGGCGCATCTACTGGCTACACCATGTGGTCAGGGGGGGATGGACTCATACCACCTGGAGCTGCCTGGAGCTGCCCACCAGTGAAGCCACAGCTGCAGAAGCCCACTGCTCAGCACCCGCCTCTCAGACACATGCCAGAAGACACATGGAGATGGAACTCTGACCGGGAGGAGCAAGGAGGGACAGGGTGGCAGCAGAGAACCCAGACACTGGGGTCAGGATGGCCATCCTGTTCACTCAAGGGCTGGAGTCACACACCACAGAGGAGTAGTGCTGACAGTTCCATGATGTGGGGCCTGAGACCCTGCGCCTGAGTCACACAGGAGCTCGGACACAGTTGCCGGCATCCATGGGACCCTGGGAGCCAGCCTGGTGGGGTTGGGAGCAGCAGCCAGGGCCCAACAGGCAACCACGCCAGGCCTACACCCGCATTCTGGGCCTCAGTCCCCTCTCGCTGGCCTCTGGACACAGCGCCCTGAAGAATACCAGCAGCAGGAGCCAGGACTGCAGCTGTAAGGTCATGGCCAGCAAGAGCCCAGGGCCAGAGTGGCCTGGGAAGCCAGAGCTCCTGAGCCCATCAAAGGAAAGGGTTCAGCTGGTCACTCAGTCTCCTGAAGCACACAGGGGCTGTGTCCACAAGGGAGCGACACGCTCATGGGGGTGAGTTGGTGTGCAGGAGTGCCTCCAGGCCTCCCTGTACTTGTGGCTGGAACTGAAGCTGGAGCTCTGGCTTTCTGCCACCTGCACAGGCCGAACTGCTGGCAGGCCAGGGGACTGCTGAGCACACATGCCCACCAGTCAGCCCCGCAGGCTGGTCCCAGAGGCCCATCAAGGACAGTAGTTGGGCTGCCACCACCTCTAAGGTCCTGTCAGCCCTACTGCTGGCCCCCAAATGACTGTGCAGGCTGGCAGGGCTCAACAGCCCCATCTGGCTCTGTGGACGCTCCCCAGAGCCCTGGCTACCCAGAGGCTATCACTGCCACAGCAAAGGCCCATCGGTCCATCAGCCAACGGTGGAGCTTTGGCCGCAAACAGCAGGCCCAGGCAGGCGCCCAGCGGGGTCTCAGTGCAAGAGCTAACTGAGTGGCCTTAACTGTGCTGTAGGGATGGAGCAGGGCTTGGAGAGCTCCACGAGGGGCCTTCAGTGACCTCGAACAGGGTCAGCACAAACCCCTGGGAGGCACGCCTGTGGCCCTACCCCAAGCAGAGAGGCCAAAGGGTTCCTCACCACTCCCTACTCAGCCCAAACCTGCTGCTCTGACAACCTTGCCCCCTGAGTGTGCTGGGTTGAGCAACAAACTCCTCCTGACGGCCGCACACATGCCAACAGAAGCCTCTGCCCGGGGCTAGAAAGTCATCTTTCTCATTGTAAAACTATATTATGATCAGAATTCACAAAAATAACTCATTTCTTAGTGAAGTGACACACAAAAATGAAGCTCCTGTGCAGTGTTAGCAAGCACCCACAAGCTCACAGCCCCAGGGGAGTAACCAAGGGATGGCTGCTCTCTCCACGGCACGTGTACTCCAGTGGTGCGTGTACTCCCTGAGGAGGAGACGAGGGATGATCTGGATCTGCAGTTTTAGGGAGAAAAGCAAGTGCTCCCTCTGCTGGCCTCAGGGGGCTGCACACCCTCAGTGACAGCGAGACCCAGGGTTGAAGTCCCTCCCAGTGGCACTCCGAAGGAAAGGGGAAACTGCCAGTAAGCAGGCCTTCCCCACATAGGCTCCAGCACTGCCTGTCCTGCCCCACGCACGGCAGCTGCTCCAGGGTGAGGACCAGGTCATAGCCCGGGACACAGGGTGTCACCTATTCTTGGTCCTAGGTCAAGGTCTCTGAGTGGCTGTGACTTGATCTTTCCCTCAGCAAGGAACACAGAGCTCTTCCCACCCCAAAGCTCCCTTAAAAACAGGGAGAGTTGAAAGCCTACCATCTCCCAGGGTGTGGGGCCCCAGTTCAAGGAACCAGGTTTAGGGCCGAGGCAGGGTTTGGGATCTGGTTCAGGGCTCCCCAAGTGAGTGGCACATCTGGCATCTGTTTTCTTGGTTCTGAACCAAGTCAAGAGACCACCACAGGCAGGAGAGGGATGGTCATGACCAGCCCAATGGTAACCACCTAGTGTCTCCCAATCATGAGGGGTAACAGCACCCAGTGCTGTCCCTCCTGGCCCTGAGGACACCTGCATAGGACCCAACTCGTGTCCTCCAGGCACCACTGCCCAGATTTCCATCCAAACTCGCCCACCTCCTCAAGGGCCCAGTGCAGTGGCATGCCGGCACCCTCTACCCTCTGATACATCCCACCCAAGGTCTCTGCAACTCCAGGATCACGGCACAGCACCACCCTGCCCATCATCAAGTGCCAAATGAACAGGCAGCCGTCCTCCCTCCAGCCCAGAGCCCCATCCAGGTGGCCCAGCCCCTCTAACTCCATGTACTTGCTCAGGGAGGTGCAGCCCCCTCCCCCAAAATCCCCCACAGCCCTCCAAGTCTCTGCCCCAAAGCAGACACCAGTGCCCTTTGGCTCTCCCAGCCATCCGGGGGCTCGACAAGGGTCTCTACTCTGGCTGACCACAGTGCTGCCAGGACAGGGCACCCCATCTGCTGGCGAGTCCCCACAAGTCCCACCCACTTCATCAGGCTGGAGGGCACCACCTAATTTTTTGTGGCTTTCTGGAGACACACTTCATATGAGGGGTGCTAAGTACCTACTACCCTCTGCTACAATGCACAGCACCCGACAACACCCAGCAGACTGGAATGTCCCCTCTGCCATGGTAACAACTCTAGGCTCACAGACAGCCTGCGCTGGGAAGATCTCGCAGAGGTTCCAAGGAGTCAGAGGCAGCTGGGCCTGCCAGGCCCACAGGCCAAGGGCCTCAGCCCCTCATAGCTCCCCCACTTGCTCACTGAGACCTCTGGGACCACAAACCCAGACTCACCGACTCTTTCCTCTCCTGCCTGGTCCCTCTCACAGCCCCTGCTGACAGGGAGCCTCGTCTGGCCTCCCACTTTGAGAAGTCAGTGGTGAGAGGAAGGAATCAGCATCTTCTGAAGCCCACCCCACCCCATGACCCCGCCACTCACCCTGGCCTTCTGCCCTGCTTCAGGTTCGATGTCCAGTTCCTTGTACTTCCTCAGTACGAGCTCTAACTCAGCCTTCAAGTCAATGGCGCGCTTTAGCTGTTCCCTGTGGACCCCCGTGCGGGAAAACCGCTGCAACACAAGGGGGAGAATCACAAAGGACACAGGACACAGAGGATGAGGGCTACAGGCGAGGGCCAGGGCCCTCCGGGGCAGGGGTCACGCCGTCACTGCCCACTCCCCTCACCACGGTCACCCCCAGGAAGAGACCCCCCGTGCCCAGCACCCTCCACGCGTGATCCCCCCCTGCAGCTACCACCTCCCATACCCTTGCCCACCCTGTGGCAGCCTCACCTGGACCCAGCAGTACACGATGGGCAAGAACTTGTTCCGCAAAAGCTTGAGTGAGTCGCGGGCAGCGTGGATCACAGCAAGGTTGTCCTCATTTTCCTGCACCTTCAGGCCATCTGGGGCAAAACATACAGAGGTCACCAGAGGGATGTGGGCCTGCATATCCCACAGACCCTGGTGAGGCTGACCACACAACAAAGGCCATACAGCCCGTGGGGAACCCACCAACAAGCACCCCTGTCCCAGTGACATCAACTAAGGACCCCAAACCCGACACTATAGAGAGAAATGTACTGATCCATGATTCTGGATAAGAGCATTCTGTTGTACCCCACATCTTTAAAATTTAAAAGTTAAAAAAAAAAAAAGAAAAGAAAATTCTGGCCCAACACCAAAGTCCCCTCACACAGCCTCGCCTCCTGCCTCTACTTCTTGGCTGTGGCCATCCCGCCCACCCACAGCAAAGTAAGAGGAAGGAACCAGAATCTTCCGAAGCCCGTCATACTCGGTGGCCTTCTCCACCCGCCCCCCACACCCACAGTGCACAGAACCTCTCCTCTTGCCTTGGTGCGCAGGATGGAGGACGCACTTGCTTCAGCCTCGGGGCCTCGGCAGCCACAAACTCACCTTCACTAGCCAGGCACCCATCACCTGCATGGCTTCCTCCACGTGCTCCCCCATCCCTGTGGCTCTCCTAGCATCAGGCATGGGGCCATGCCACCACACAGGCCAGTACATGGGGCCGACAAGCCCTAAACACCCTGTACCAGCCTGAGGGCATCCTGATACCTAATCCCAGCAGCCCGCCAGTCTTCAGCACTCTTGAGCCCTGCGATCATGCTCTCCCAGAGCCTCAGCACCAGGTCACCACTCCTGGGAAAGGACGCCCACTGTTGATGCTTTTGAAGAAAGAGGTTTCCCAGAGACAGCAACTCAAAGCCACATACATCCCCAAAGAGCCCCAACCCCTCCATCACCCCACATGGAGAGCACAGGGCGCCTGTGAGGAAACTGGGACCAAGGAGAAGAGGGGCATGGTGTGTCTCTGCAACGCCCCTCAGCCTGGAACACCAAGGCCACGTGTGACCTGCCATCGCTGCCATCAAAAGCGCAACAAGAACTGCCTCTGGCTCATTTTCCTCACAGGCCAGGCAAGTGGCACCTGACCCCTCACAACCTGCAACCTGGCAGGACCCTGCATAACCTGTCTGGGGCTGGTGGTCACTTGGAGTGTCGGGCCTGCGGTTGCCCACATGCTGCATGGAGACTGTGGCAGTGGGCACTTTGGGACCTGCCAGTCCCGGAGATCCCTGCTTTGCTCATAGCCTGGTGGGGTGAAGGCCATCAGAAGAGGGAAGGAAGTATCCCAGAGGCCAGTTTGTGGACACAGAGGCCTGGCATGGCCCAGTGCAGAGGCCATATAGGAAGGAAAGACCTGGTGGTGCCCCCAACCTGGCCCTTCGAGGAGGCCACTGCAGGTCTAAGGCTGCCTGGGAAGGCCAGCGCAGGACACACCAACAGCCAGCCCAGGGTCAAGAGCAGGAGGGCAGCCATCACCTGAGCAGAGCTCCACATCCAGTGAGTACTTATGTGAGCCGAGCCCATGGCTCCGCACAAACTCTTCCGGGTCGCTGTCCTCGTCTTCTGAGGGGGCCCCTGTGGCTGCCTCAGGTAGCTGTGCCCCAACCACAGCTCCAGGGTGGCGTGCAGAGGCTGGCAGGTCCCTGCTGCAGCAGGGCTGCTCCTCGTCCTGAAGGTCAGGGGTGCCAGACCAGCCAGGAACAGCGGGGCCCAGGCTCGAAGAGCAAGGGACATCCTCCTTAGATAGGCCAGAAGCCATGCCCAGGAATCCTGCTTCTGGGGTTGGGCCAAGGTCAAAGGGCATCAGTAGCCGAAAGCAGTTCTCCACTTCCGTCAGGCAGGATGCGATTTCCCCAGACATTTCTGCCAAGAGATTGAGATGTCTGCTTCTTGTGTCCCGGTGAGCAAAGATCACCTCACCCTACCGTACCCAGATGCCTGCCTCCAAGGCTCCACCCTATAGCACCAGCTGGGCCAGGTCCCACACCCAGCCCACACCCAGGCCTCCTTCCTTCCCAACAGCATAAGCCAGTGCCCTGGATGAAGGTTCACAGAACCCTTTAGCTGCCCCGTAGTCACCAGCTCAGCAGCTGGTCTGCAAGGCCACTTGCAGACACCTCTGGGTGATGCCTTCAGTCTGGACTAGACTATACTAAGCATGGACAAACAGGAGCAGCTGGCTAGGGCTGCAGGTCCTGGCACAAGGCCACTCCGCTTCCTGGGGCACATGACACCACACATCTCCCTGGGGCCAGACCAGCTCCCCTTCCTGGAGACCTCCTCACCACCCTGGGGCCCAGCAGCCTGCCTCACGGACTTCTCCAAGGCCTGAGTTTCCCAGAAGTGGCCTTCGGCAGGGCTCACACATGGGGAAAGGGTTGTGGAAAGCCCAGGGATATAGAAAGAGCCCCTAAGACCCATCATCACAGGATGCAGAGTAGCTGCCTCAGCCAGTCTCAACACACCTCTGCAGGGGGCCATGCACCCTGCCTGCTTCCCCGCCCCCCCTCTTATACCCCTGAGAAGGGTCAGCTGCCAGGAAGTAAACAGTAGGGTTTTGGGGAGCCATGAATGAGAATGAGGAGCCTTCAATTTGGCCACCAGGCTCAGATCACTGTCTGCCCCCATCTCTGCACCGGATCTTCAAGGCACATAGGCGTAGGTGAACACAGCCACCAGGGGGCGCAGGAGAGGCAAAGATGCTGCAGAGGCCCCTAGGGCCAGGGTCTTGGGGAGTCTATGGCTGAGAATGCCTCCGCAGCCCTCCCTGAACTCCCTGCCTAGCCTGTGTGAGCACCTGGGTCCCTAGGACCAGGGGCCCTGGGACCGGAAACATGCGATAGATACTAGACCAAAGGCAGTAGCCAGCACAGCGGCAACAGGCAGCCCGGGGCGCTGGTCACTCACTGCTGGGCACTTGCCTTCCATCTCCCTCTCTGCCTGCTTGGCTCTCTCTCTATGGATTTTATCCAAGTGCTTCTGCTTCTCTTCTTCTCTCTTTCTTTCTGCCACAGTCCTTACATTCACATCATGAAAATCCACCTGGGAAATTGAAAGCAAGGATTAGGACTGTCTATAAAAAATGCAAAGAAGATAAAAGTCAAAAACAGGTCTCATCAAAAACACACCAGCATCAGTACACGGCCAGGATCTCCAGAGGTTTGTCAGTTTACACTGCTTTTTGTTTTTTGCTTTTAAGAAAGAAAAAAAAAGACTGAAGTGCAGTGATCACAGCTCATCACAGCCTCAACCTCCTGGACTCAAGCGATCCTTCAGCCTCCACCTCCCAAAGTGCTGGGATTATAGGCACGAGCCACCATGACTGCCTACTCACAGTGTATTAAAACAAAAGGAAATTCACTTACCTCTGCTATCTAGTCCCTGGAAAGTCAGAACATTTGCAAGTTAAAAGAGATAAAAAGGCTTCTAGCTCCAAGTAGGACACAGGGAAGAAAGCAGCATGTTTGCATGATTAGCAAGCAGGGGCTGCTGACAGGACCTGGGGGCCTAAACCACCACCTGAGTGTGAATCCCCGTGGGAGGGGTGGTGCTCCCTGGGGCAGAAGGGGAAGGATGGGTCGGAGCCTCCAGAGAGGGGCCATGGCATCATCTGAGCTGCAGCAGGGTTGGGTTCAGGCCACAGATGCAGCCCCCAAGTGGGTTTCATCAGTCCCAGCACCAGCCAGAGCCCACCGTGGGGTCCAGGTGAAGACTTTAAGCACAAAGCTGGGCCAGATCCCAGCGTCCAGGGCCCATTGTTGCAGAAAGCAGCTGCACTTGAGAAGCTGGTTTTTGCCTTTCCTTGCTTGTGAAAAGCAAGCCTGCAGGTTCACTTCAGCCACACAGGAACAGCTTCCACTCTTTTCCCCTCACAGCTGCTCCACCCCTCTCTGGAGGTCTGACCCCACCCTTCTACCTCCACTGATCCAGGGACCCATGAGCCCAGGAGCTAGCCACCCCAAAGTGCACCCTCAACAGGCAGAGATCTCATCTGCTCTGCCCTCCTACATTGGGTAACTGGGGTCTCCAGGACAACCAAGGACAAGGCCCACCTACCTTCTTGATGTGTCTTAAGAAGTGGTAGCCCAAGGCAAGTTTCTTATAGGCCTCTCCGAATTTCTCATTCCAGCCTTCCACAGCCTGGATGGCTGCCTGCCTCAGCTTCTGGGCCACCTCCCTGGGGGGCGGGAGGGGCTGCTCGTGGTCTGTGCCTAGTGTGAGCTCCAGGAATTCCTGGAAGTCGGAAACAACCAGCATCCTGAACTGGTGAGACCTGGTGAAGAGCGTGTCCACAATCTGGAAGGCTGAGAGGCGGATCTCGGCATGCTCCCGGGACAGCTGTGACATCAGCAGGCGGTAGGCGTGGCTGAGCTGCTCCTCAGAAGACCTGTGACACAAGCTGGCCTGACCCTAGTGCTTGGCACTCTAAGAGTAAGGGCATGCATGCACTCTGCGCAGGCACGTAACAGACACGTAGGGTAGGCTTCCCCACCTCCCTTCTCCTGTTCTTTCAGAGCAGGGGCCACAAACCATGGCCCAAGGGCCACATCTGGTTCCACCACCCTCTGCCTGGGTCCACAAGCCAAGGTGTTCTACGTTTTCAAACTTTCAAATTTCAAAGTTGAAATTGTGAATCCTACATGAAATTCACATGTTGGGGTCTGTCAGTAGAGTTTCACTGGCACACAGTCCCTCCACTTGCTTACAATGTCTGCAGCTGCTTTCAGAGTTGAGCCCTCAGTGATGCCCAACTTCACTACACAAGGCCCTTACAGAGAGTCGCCCCAGGGCTAGCACAGCAGTTTGCCCAGCAGGGCCTTCCTCCCGTTAGGAGGGAAAAGGCAAGGCTGGGAGCCCTGGGTCTGGCAAGCTCTAGCACCCCTCGGAGGCTCCTTCTTCCTGCCCGATGTACATCATAAAGAATAGGGGTTTCTTGGGCATGCTGCAAAATCTGACCTGAGCTGAATTTTCTACCAAAATGTAAACACTTAATCACTTAATAAACAATCCTCAAGTTCAACTGTTTTGTCAACACAGAACACAAGAAAATCAGTATCCCTCAGCTCATGCTTTCAGCGTCTGAGAGCAAGTTTTGAATCTCTGGCTACCTAAGTGTGATCAGCAAAGATCCCAGTTGGTGTTTTCTTCAGAGGGAGAGAACAGGGATGGACAGACTCTAAAGACAGAGCAAGCCGGGCTCGGTGGCTCAGCCTGTAATCCCGCGCCTTTGGGAGGCTGAGGTGAGTGGATTGCCTGAGCCCGTGGGTTCGAGACCCG